ATCCATCTACCACTAGCAGTTGCTCAGATATTTTTCCATAGAATGTGTGTTGCCAAGACCACAGTGGTTTCCAAGTTTTCCCTGTCTGAAAACCCCATTTCTAGGGACCTTCATGCCCTGGGGCCAGTCTGATGAAGGAAGATCACAGCTCCCATGAAAACTGGCTTGAGCTGGGGCTGATCATTCTGCTCCGATCATGCAAGTTGCTCGCCTGGAGTGTTTCCTCTGTTGCTAAGCCCTCCAAGGAAAGAAAAACAGAAACCAAACACGTGGCCTTGAGCTGCCTGAATGAATCTCATGCATTCACTGCCCAAATTCAAAGTGCAGGTCTCCTGCTGGGACAAAAACAGTAGTCTTCTTTCCAATCAAGTTGATCTTCAGATAGAAAATATTCTGCAATGTGTTCTAACCAGTAGATTGAGATACTTTTAGCCAGACATTAAAGCATCAGAAGAATGAGATGGGTTGCCCAAATGAGGTAGCAATAAATTACTGCCCAGGCCAGTCAAGGGGAGAGTGTGCTGAGGAAAACGCATCTGAGAAGACATTTGCAGAGCTAGGAGCAGGAAAGCTGTTTGAGGACAGACAGTCTCTTGGAATAACATCCCCAGAGACGAGAGAAGAAAGTGTGTGGATCAGGAAGAGTCAAGAAGTCAGGGAAAAACATCCAGCCCAGGGAGTAACCAGGACTGCTTTTGAGAGACTCAAAGGTGGGGAGAGCCAGTCGGAAGGTAAGAAGGCGCCCAGCACGGCAGTAAATGGAAAACGAAAACAAGCCCAATATTAAAGAGGCTTAGAGGCTCTTGAGGAGGCCGAACAATGTTGAGCAAAGGGCAAGAGCAGGGAACAGCCTTTGGAGAGGAAAAGCTGGAAGGTCACAGGGGGTGGCTAAGAGAAGGGAGACAGAGAGTACCTCCCACCACAGGGCCCTGCGGCCTCGCCTCCCCATCCTCTCCCTTTACCAGCCCCGTTTCCTGCCACGCGCCCTTCCAGCACTTTATGTGCATTACCATTTAATTGTCACAGCATCCCAAGGAGCTTGGTGCTACTCTCTCCATTTCACAGAAGGAAACCAAAGCATAAAGAGGTCGTGTACCTCACCCAAGATCACCAAGGAACAAAATACTGAAAGCAAGACTTCAAAATAGGTTTTTCACTCAAAACATGCACTTTTAGCCATTGCATTAGTTTCCTAGAACTACCGTAACAAGGTATCAGAAATGGGGTGGCTTAAAAAACAGAAGTTTACTTTTTATAGTTCTGGAGGCCAAAGTCTGAGATCAAGGTGTCGGCAGGGCTGGCTCCTTCTGCGGGCTCTGAGGGCAGGCTCTGTCCCAGGCCTCTCTCCCTGGCTTGCAGATGGCCGTCTCCTCCCTGTGTCCCTCTGTATCGTCTTTCTTCTATATGTGTCTGGCTCAGTGTCCAAAATTCCCCTTGTTATAAGGACACCAGTCATATTGGATTAGGTCCTAACCTGACTGTACTCAACTAGTTACATCTGCAATGATCCTATTTCCAAATGAGGTCACATTCTGAGGTATGGGGGGTCGGGGGAACACTTCAACCCCTAAGAGCCATTTTCCTGTCCTGGCCCTGGACACAAGACGGCACAGCAGAAAGAGCACGTAACAAGCTTACTGAACCTGCGCCAGCGCCTACCTCCACTTTCTTGTCTATAAAATGGGATTGCTTCTCCCAGCTTCTACAGTCACTGCAAGGAAACAGTGAGTGAAACATCCGTCACCCGCAGACTCCGGTGGTTTCCCCTCCCGTACCCTCTGCTGCAGGTGCTTCTGCTAATACAAAGCAAGGTGGGGGCTACACCCCCACAAGCCTTTTGGTTCTGTTCTCAGCTGGCATCTCCTTTACAAGCACAGGGGCCACCAGGGAAGGCTCTGTAGGTGACACCATCAGCTTCAGGCCCCTTATCCCCACTGTGAACAAGAAACAAAGTCTGAGTGCCCACTTTTGCCCCAAACTACCTTCACACCTCTGAATGAACACGGGCTACAGACCTGGTCTGAGCAGCTGCAGCTGGTGCTGCGGAGCTGAGCCAGGCAGGGACACACGCGCAGGGCAGCCTTCAGCAGAGGCTCAGAGATCAGCCTCACCCAACCAGCAAACATACAGCAAAGCACGCACCCTGTCTCTCTTCTGGAGAAACAAGGGTGATCCATAAATCTAAGAAAACACCTCACAATCCAATTATTAAGTATATTTTGGGCCATGCCCAGGGAAAAGCTCCCTGCCCAGAGGCCTTAGCAGCCTGGCCACACTGGTGATCACCGGTCATGTTCTCAGAGGGAAATACCCCTGGCTCTCCTTGGCACTACCCTGTTTTTCCTCAGACAACCACAGGAAGGGTCTGCAGCTCTTGTGGCTACAGGACACTTTGCAGCCACAATGTTCTGGAGCTTCACTACTGTCACGCTATCATCCTACAGAACACAGCCTGATGGCAAAAGTGCAAGAAACAATCACAGTGTAATGATAAAGGGAATAGCAGTTCCCGTTAACTGAGCACATACTACATACTGCTATTAGTAGTATTTCAACCCCAAACCTCTGGGTATTTTTTTTTTTTTTTTTTTTTTTTTTT